GTCATGGGTCTGCCCAGCCACTGTTGTGGCCTTCCCCACTCCCAGTGCCCAGCAGGCTCCCTGCCACCTCCCTCCCCTGTCCCTGTCCCACCCCTTCCCCTTTCCCCCTTCCCAGCACCGTTTTATTCCCTTCCCTTCTATAGAACCTCTGACCTCATGAGCTCTGTGATATCATAGCCATTGGCTGACTCATTCCAGCTGACTAGAGAGTTCCATCACTAAGCAAGAGAGTGGGGAGTATTTAGCAGGGGACGACCAAGCCTTCGAGCATGACTATGGAGATCAATACAGATGACTTGAGTTTGCAAACTGCTTTCACATCCATTACATCCTTACAGCAGCCAGGTCTCAAAGGAATAGTGTCATCATCCCATTTTATAGATAAGGCTACTGAGGTTCACAAAAGAAATGACTCACCCACTCACGATCACAGAGAAAATAAGGGGCAGAGTGGGATTGTTGATTAATTATTTTGATTCTAAATGTCACAGCTTCCCACTCTTCCATGAAACCTTTCTCAAAGGAAAGTGGCTTGCATAGGATGGGCTGAGACCAGATGCTTGAAATAAGGATCCTCAAGTTCTGGGCTGTGCTTAAAACTCAGGTCCATTGAAAATGAGGGAGGTGAAGGGGGAGGTGTAGAGGGTGGAAAAAGGGTCCATCTGGGCTGTGTGTGTGTGTGTGTGTGTGTGTGTGTGTGTGTGTGTGTGTGTGTGTGTGTGTGTGTGTGTGTAAGAGAGAGAGACAGGGAGAAAAAGAGAGACAGACACAGAGGGAAATAGGACAGACAGAATGCAGGGTGTCCTGGGCCTAAGTCAAACCTATTCTCTCCTTCCTCCTCCTCCCCTAACTGTCCTCATGCCTAGACTTTGCCCTCTTGTACTGATAGACTGGAAAAGCCTTTTCTCTCATTGTACATCCTCTTGTACTTTTGGTCACAGAGAAAACTTCATTAGAGGCTCATTCACTAAACTTCTTGCTTGGTAGAAAGAGGTAGAGTCCTCAGAGAAGAAGCAATGTGGCAGAGAGACAAGGAGCCCACCTAACAGATCTCATGAAACCTGCTCACCCTTGAACCTGGTGAGCACATACCTGTTGGCAGTAACTGGCTGTGGCTAATTTTCATCTGCTTCTTGGGACAGAGACGATGGTTAAGGGTGAGTTGGGGTGGGGTGGAGTGGGGTTGGGTGAGGTGGGGGAGAGAGTATGGAGGGCTGTTCTGAAAACCAGAAGAGATATAGGTCATGAGATACAGGAGAGGCATGCAGATAGGGATGAGTGGGAGAAGATTCTAGACACATATGATCTATCCCAGTGAGCCCACATCACTCCTGGTGCCCATGCATTCCACGTCTGAATGAACCACCAAATGCAGGGGTAAGGATGTGTGCAGAAGCACGCACCTTTCTGGGAGAGGGGATTGCATGTGGAAATTTCTTTCTACAGACGTTACCCATATTGCCTACTTCATATACTTCCTGGTGATCCAAGCCAGGTGACTCGGTGACTGAGGAATGGTACAGGAGGTAACTTGACGGTGGGGGTGGAAAGATTAAAGTAAGCAGGTGACCCTGTTCATTCCTACCTTGAACTCATTGACTTGCAGGTCCAGGGAACGATGCTTGGGTAAAAAAAAAAAAAAAAAAATCACTAATGTCCTCCTGGCTATTTGGAGGACAGAGCCTCTTGGTTCCTGGCCAAAAAAGAAGCTATCTCCAGCTTGTGAGCATAAATGGGGAAGGAAGCTGTGGTGGAGAGCGTCTTTCAGAAGAGGAAGGAGTGGAAAGAACCTGGTTAGAATGACCACCCTCTTTCCCAGCTTCCCATCTGAAAAGAATATATCCTTGAAGGAACCAAGAATCCCTTAAATTTTGTTTTCTTAATAAGAACTATTTAAGAAATATGAAAAACAAAAAGGGAAAATAGTTCCACCCTCCAGTGGGCATCACTATTAATGTTTTCAAGTATGGTATTCAAATCTTTTCCCTATGTGGCTGTGGGCATGTGGGTAGAAGTATATTTCCTATCAATTAAAATCCAGGTATCATGTGTGGTCCTCCTTATTGCATCAGAATAAGGGCTTGGCTGCTTTGGTACCAAAGCAGCTCTGGGCCCTGACATTGCTCTTACCTGCTTCTCCTGGGCACCTGGAAGGCATTACAGAGTCATGATGGACGTCAAGGCATCATCATAGGGTTGAAGCTGCTGCCTTGAGGGAGAGGGGATGTGGGTGTCTTTGGTCCCAGAAATTTGAGAAAGCATGCAGAAGAATGAGAGGAGAAAAGGGAAAGAAAGTGTAGTGATACGGTAGATGACAGAGGTGAAAGAGTAGAGGGGAAGAAAGCTGGAAAAGAGAAGAGAGAACTCCTTAAAGATTAGAAAACAGTTTCCAAATCTCTAGTCTACCCCTAGGACAGGTGGGACTGTTACTGGAACGGGGACCTGGCCTGGAGCAGGTCTGCCTAGGGCTGGCTGGTAGTGTGTGGACTCTTGACTTGGTGCAGGAAGATTCCACAACAGGAGTCCAGGTGATTTTTGAAAGTATTCTATTATAGCTCAGGACAGTGAAACACAAGAAGGGCTTAGCATAGAAGAAATGACAGGAGAGGGCCTAGGTGGGAAACATTAGCCTAGGTGGGGCCGCTTTCACTCACTGGGAAGTCAGAGAAAGGGGGCCTTGAGGACAGGGTCAGAGGGTTAACCCAGGAGGAACTGCTACTGCCCATGGCTCCCCTGGTTGCAAGCCTCATGGGGTCTCTTAGTTTAGGCAATGAACGCCTGTGGGGAAAGAAGAGGGGGAAGGGAGGGAAAAGGTGTGGGTGTGTTCCTGGGAGAGAGAGCAAGAACTGGGACCTTCGTTTTGAAGGGTTTTAAAGAGTGGGAGTTTGGGGAAGGTCGTAGTGGAGGATCTCAATAGAATAGTCATCAGTTCTATGCTGATGTGCCAAAATGAGATTTATTCCCTTAAATTCATCTGTCCTTGGGTGTGGTGAACAAATGGCTCTCATTGATTTGGATTTCTGTTATCTGTCTCCCCGAGTAGGGTGATTTAAGCTCTGGTTGGGGAGAAGTGCAAACCATTTATTTTATTTTATTTTTAAGATTTTTATTGGATTTTAGAGAGAGAGGAAGGGATAGGGAAAAAAAGAGAAACATTGATATGAGAGCAAAACATTGATCGGCTGCCCTGACCAGAAATCAAACCAGCAACCTTTTGGTGCATGGGATGACGCTCAACCAACTGAGCCACAGCAGCCAGGACCAAAACATTGACTCCTAAGTATCCTTGGTTTAGGGAAGATAGGATTTACTAGATGGCTGCAAACTGCTGTTTAATTATCTATCTCAGTTTCCCTATTCTACTTGCCAAGGAATTTTCCTAGCTTCTTTAAATCTTGCCTCAGGACAACCTGGTTCCCCCAGGCTGCTGGTACCTGCCCCTCCCACTGGAGAGCACAGTGCAGGCGCAGAAGGGCAAGTGAGAGGGTGAAGAACCTTCCCCCCTTTCTCCTCACTGACCCAAGGACACTGCCCTTGGTGAGAGACCCTGTGCACCTGCTCTGTGCGGCTCTGACCGGGCCTGCCCTCCCCCTCCCCCTCCAAGATTAGCTTTATAGGCTGGGTGCTGCTTTCCTGTGCCTGCCCCTGCTTATCAGCTCATCTACAACCCCCACCTCAACCTTATCGCTGCCTCCATCTCCTTAGACTAATCCCAAGGCTTCAGAGGCTATTACCACCTCACCCTGCCTAACCCCCAGCACAGCAGAAAAATGTCCCACAAGGTGACTCCCTCCCCTTAACCAGCCCACACCTCCCCCTCCCCAGGGTGAGAGCATGCTTTCTCCTTGTCTCTGGCATCTACTCTTTCTTGCCTTTTTTATTTTCCTTTCAACTCCTGTCCTACTCTAAAGGTTGTTTTGTCCACCTTGCAACTGCTAGAAAAAACACCTTCATTCTTATAGCAAAAGAAGCGAGCATTCCCCCTGCTCCTGGAGACCCCCAAGGGGGAGGGTCCTCTGACTATCTCTACTCAGATCTCTCACATCTTTATAGGCAGAAGGTTCCTAAGAAGCAACAAGGTCTGGCATGTGATCTGGAGCTAAGGTTTCAACTTTAAAGCCAGTTCCAGTTTTGCTACTTGCTGTAGGTATTCACTCTTCCCGTCTGGGCTCCATCTTGGTCTTCTCACTTATGAAATAAAGAGGACCTTCCCTATTCCCACCTACCTCTTAGGGCTACTGAATGACTACAGTTCAGTCGTAGGTATATACTGCTTTGAAAACAATTAGGAGGAGAAATAGAAACTGCCCTATCAGACAGTTTGGCTTACTCTTTCCTCCTGCTGTCTCATTCCCAGAGAGGGACCCAAAGGTGGGTGGGTCTACCTCCTTCACCTGCCTCTCTTCCTGTTGTGAAAACACAGGGCCCTCTGAAGGTCTCCTCTGATGGGGGCTCCAAGTAGCTGGAAGAGAAGAGGAGTCACCCTGAGTTTCTCACAGAGGAGGGGTGGCCTGGACCTCTTGTGTGAGTCAGGGCTGCAGAGTTGAGGACAGAGATGACCACCACTCAGGGAAGCAGCCCCAGCTGCTTATAAGCTCATCTCTGGAAAGAGAATCAACATCCTTGAGTTCTTAGGATCATGCTTTAAAGCCACTTCCATAAGAGAGCAGAAGTGCTCCCCTCCTTTTACAGAGTAGCAGACTGAGGCACAGAAAGCTCATCTAACTGATTTGCAAGGGCTGAGAGAGCCAGGATTCAAACCAGGCTGATAGCCCAGCTAGAGGACATGGTTTCCTGATCACCTGCATCCCACTGACTGCTCACCTTGCTTGTGGGAGCCAGCTTCTAGGTCTCTCATCTTGCTCCCCATTCAGAGTGCTCTGCCCCGCCCCTCACCTGTCCAGGTCTCAGCCCCAACCCACAGCCAAAGTTCCCTCCCCTCTCTCCTCCTGGCTGTAGGGCGGGCTCTGTGTCTCAGAGGTTCACTCTAGAAACAGCTCCTCCCCTTCCAGGCAAAGCTGCTCTCTCGTGACAGGGCAGCTAGTCACCAGTGCACATGCATACACACACACCCCACAACCACAGGCTGCACATACAAATAGCACGGGAGATACAATCATTCTCACTCCCAACCCCCAAGCAAACCTGGCCACTTCCTCAGTAGCTGCTTTGTCCTGGACCTGCCTCTTTACCACGCCCCACCACCTGCCTGCAAGGAGAAGACATGGGGACTCCTCCACCCAAGGTGAAAGGGCCCTGGACCCACCTCCAGAAACTTCTGACCTCATGGATGTTCAGAGAGAAAGACTGGGATCAGCAGCTGGATGAGGCCCACATGCTGCAACAGAAGAGGTAAGCTGTCCGGTCACATGGTGTCCCACCTCTCGCTGATCCACAGACCTTCCTGCCCACGCCAGTCTATCTCCAGAGTTCAGCGCCAGGCACTTGGATGTGCCCTTTCTCCCAACTTACCGTTATAGTCACAAAACCCAAGTTGCCCCTCTCAGTGATGAGGGGTGGGGGATGGAGTTGAGCCACACAGGGAGACCTTGATGTGGATTCCATAGATTTAGAGGCAGAGCTCTCATCTGCCTGCCTGGTGGGAGAAGAGGGTGGGGACAAGAGGGACCAGAGGGAAGAAGCCAGTATGTTAGGGGGGTTGTAGACAGGTGCAAGCTGGTGGAGAGCAGGTTGCTGGGGAAGGGATGAGACCCTGTGGGTTGAAGAAAGAGGGAGGAATCAGCATTAGTAGAAATGGAAATGGATTGGTGGGAAAGAGGAGGAGAGCTTTGTTCACCTGGAGCTGACAGCCAAGGAGGGAAACCCAGGTGACACTGGAGAGTCCTCAGTTCAGTGAGCGGTCCCCAACCTTTTGGATCTCATGGATCACTAGTGGTTCGCGGACCATCAGTTGGTGACCAGCTCATCTGCCTTTTATTGAGTGGGGCATGTGCGGCGGTGTGCTGGGGACTGGAAATACAGCTGTTGATAAAGCCTGTGTCTGCTTCTGGGACACTCAGTGCAGGTGGGGCTGATACACCTGGGGGCAGGTCATATCTTGGCTAATTAGCCCCGAGGTCCAGATTCCTGAAGCGCAGGCAGGGCGGGGACCCATCTTGTGGGTGGGCCTCTGCCTTGGAGTGTTTGGAGGACTTGTCTCCCATGGGAGAGCATGGGAGCTCGGGGAATGAGCTGAACACACACTGGGAGATTAGGGGTCTAGCCAGGGCTGGTTTCACAGGTAGGTGACCTCTACAGTTGCACAGGGCTCTGGGTTTCAGAAAAGCCCTGCACTCTATTTAATGCACTGCTATCACCTGGAAATTCTTAATATTTTAAACAAGGGGTCCTGCACTTTCATTTTGCTCCAGGCCTTGCAAATTGTGTAGCAGAGCTTGGATGCAATCTGAACCCTCATTCCAGGAAAGGCTCTCTGCTTGCTCAGCAGCACCCACTCCAGGCCCTGCAATGGAACCTTTGGCCTCCCACCTGTGTCCCTGCTTTGGACTGGGATTAGGGCAGACCTTCCCTCTGCAGGGGGCAGTGGACTGGAGGCTTCGGGGGACAGGCTGTGTGTAGTGCCCACAGCATAGAGCTGAACTCTGGGAGCCTAGCCCTGGCTGCCCTGAGCTGCGGCTGGGACTGAGGGTCCAGGTGAGATGGGGCAGGGGCTGTCCCTCTCTCTGCTGGTCCCTTTCTGCGAGCACTTTGTTAAATTAGGGCAGACCTGAGCTCTGCCTTGAGAAAAAACAAACAAACAAAAACTGCTTCGCTAAGTAAAACCCCCTTTCCAATGGCTCACGGGGCCACTGAAGAGGAATTGGGATTGAGAGACATCATGGTCACCAGTCAGTTTGTCTGCCTTTTGTCTTTCCCTCATGACCCTCAATCTGCCAGACCCGGTGATCATCTTCACAGCCAGCTAATACTGACTTGCCCTTCAGCGTGGGCTTTAGTTTTGTCTCTTGTTTGGCTCATTCAGGCAGGGAAAGTAAAGACTGGCTGAGAGAGGTGCCCTGGGGTGGGCCTCTCCACAGGGTACCCCCCTCCCCACCCCCCGCACTCCAAACTGCACCATCTGAGAAGCTCCAGGTTGTGTTCCCCCTTAGTTACAACAGGGGTGTTTAGACCATTCAATTTGAGGGCAAGACCCAGAATAGATTCTCCATAACCCACCCCAAACTCTCCCTGCCCCCGTCATGGATGTGAACCTAAACAGTCCAGAGGGGTAATCAGAACTTCAGCAACTCACAAACACACACTGCTCTCATACCTGGCCTGCCTCATCCTCTCTGCCCAGTTCTAATCTCGCAAACTCCCCAGGCCAGGGTGTCAACCGGGGACCAAAGTTCCATCTCCCTGACCTGCTCCACCTCCCCAGGTTCCTGAAACATTTACACAGCTTAGATGGATTCAGCCAGGCCTCATGGCCTCCTCTCCTGGCCACCAGGACCACCCACTCCGCAGCCCAGGCCCTCCTCTCCTGGTCACTACAAGCCTCTGCTGAGTCTCCTACTCAATGAGCCCAGGCCCCCAGTGCGGGAAGACCTAGTGTGATATAATGGCTCTGCTCTCAGCTTCACTGCAATTCTGTCTCTGCATCACTCATGTTCATTTTCTCCCAGGATTCAAGAATCTCCACTACTTCAGGCTGCCAAGGACAATGACCTTTGTGTCTTGAAGAAACTCCTGCTAGACAGAAGCTGCGACTTACGGCAAAGAGGTGAGCTCAGAGTTTAATGTGATAGAGATGGGGCCCCTCTGGTCCAGAACTTCTAGAGTTTCTGCAAAGGGGTCTGTTCCCTGAGGGGAGGGTTTGATGCCTCTGTCTGACTCTTCTCCAGGAGCCCTGGGAGAGACAGCGCTGCACATAGCGGCCCTCTATGACAACCTGGAGGCTGCCATGGTGCTGATGGAGGCCGCCCCGGAGCTGGTTTATGAGTCCACCCTCTGTGAGCCATTTGTAGGTAAGGAGCCTTCAGTTTTTCAAGGTGGAAACAAGTAGGGGAGGGTCTGTTCGCATGGGCCTCTGAGTTGGGAAGAATACACAGGTTCTGGTCTTGGCTTCCACGACTTCCTCAAGCCATTTATTATTTCCCTCAATTCCTTTCATATTCTCTGAAGGACAGGACTCTATTTCCTACACAGCAACACTAGAGTGATTGCAATTATGCCCTGTCCCCAAAATCCAAGAGGTAGGGACAATGCAGTAAACAGCCTGAGGGACTAATTGCCCTCAGTCACAGCCCAGTCTGCAAAGCTGAGGGCATAAATCTATTCAAGGATGTGTCAGGGATCTCCTGCAAGCCAGGCAGATGGTGCACCTTTGGAAGAAATGGGGACAGATCCCCATGACTGAGGGCTCTCTCTGAACCAGGTCAGACTGCACTGCACGTGGCCATCATGAACCAGAATGTGAACTTGGTGCGAGCCCTGCTAGCCCATGGGGCATGCGTCTCTGCCAGAGCTACAGGAACAGCTTTCCGCCTCAGCCCCCACAACCACATCTACTTTGGTGAGAGCCAGAGCCAGGGCTGGGGAAGGGGAGGTAGGTGGCAGGCAAGAGCCAGGGGAGGATGGAATGAGGAGAGCTCTGTGCCTGATGGGGTGAGGTGAACTGGGGTCAGCCCTTATAGGGCTTAAGGCTAGAGCCCATTCCCCAGGGCCTCTGCACCATCCCTGCCTCTGGTTCGGCTGATAAGTGTCCCCAAGTCTAGAGCTGAGCTGTGTGGAGGAACAGGCAATCACTGGGGAGGTGCCCATCCCAGCCTGCACTCATGCCATGGAGCCCTCTGTTTCCCCAGGGGAGCACCCTTTGTCCTTTGCTGCCTGTGTGGGCAGTGAGGAGATCGTGCGTCTGCTCATTGAACATGGAGCTAACATCCGGGCCCAGGACTCCCTGGGTAAGCACTGGAGTGTGGAAAGGACCTGGGGAACAGACGGAATGGGAGGGGAGGGTCTGGGACAATGGTCAGGCCCACCATGGGGACCATCAGGGACTAGGGTCCAGCAGCCACATGACACCAGTGTCCTCCCCAGGAAACACAGTGTTGCACATCCTCGTCTTCCAGCCCAACAAGACCTTTGCCTGCCAGATGTACAACCTGCTGCTGTCCTATGATGGGCATGGGGGCCACCTGCAGTCCCTGGACCTTATACCCAATCACCAGGGTCTCACCCCCTTCAAGCTGGCTGGAGTGGAGGGCAACACTGTGGTGAGGGACACCCTCCAACCCTACATGTTCTCAGATCCATCTCCTCAAACTCTCCAAAAGGATGGTAGTCCCTTACTTCCAACTCTGTCACTAAAAGCCTCAGCCTCAGGAATCCCTGGCTAAGGAGGACCTGAGGCTCATTCTTTAGAATATCTACTGGGAACCCAAAGTTCTGTTCCCTTTGCCTGTTCTCTTCTTTCAGATCTTTGTAAGGTTTGTGGGAAGGAAAGATAACAACAAAATAATAAGGAGGTTTATGGAATCAAAGGCTTGCTACGTCCTGACTGTCATCAGTCCCAAGGAATGGGTGCCAAGCTCTTCAGTGGTGGTGCTCCCCTGGACCAGCTTCTCACACACTGACACTCCAACTCACTGCTGTGTTCTCACAGATGTTCCAACACCTGATACAGAAGCGGAAGCACATCCAGTGGACCTACGGGCCGCTGACCTCTACTCTCTATGACCTCACAGAGATCGATTCCTGGGGAGAAAAGGTGTCCTTTCTGGAGCTCGTGGTCTCCTCTAAGAAGCGGGAGGTAAGGATGAGATGGAGGATCAGGGACTGTCATGTGTTCGTGCAGAGCCTATCCATTTGCTAAGATCCTGGGTTCCAGACACTTCCTCACCTGATAATATATGAAAATATATGGAGACAAGACTCCTGGAATGTTTGGGAGAAAAGTCCAATCAACACCCCTTTCCTGACTGCACTTTCCCTCTGCTTAGCTCTAGTCCTTTTCCCTTACCTTTGTCACACTGACATTTCAGATAAGGAACTCTCCAAATGGAGGTTGCTTACTTACTACCACTCACTCATTAATTTAGTCATTCAGCATATTGAACACCTTCTGTGTCCCAGATGCTGTACAAGGAACTGAGAATACAGAAATAAACAAAACACAGTTCCTATCTGTCAACTTCCTCAATTACAGTCCCCTTCCTCAATAATTGCGTTAGAGTACAATGTATACCATTCCAGGGGTTTGTACTGTGCATAATGGCAGCAAAATTGAGGTTGGGTGGATCAGAGACAATGTACCAGAAGTGCCTGAGGTGGGTCTTTAAGGAGGAGTTAGGAATTCCCAGGAAGATGAGAAAAAAAGAGAGCTTTCTAGAGAGGGAAAAACAATGATCAGCCCGAGTTGAGTGATATGAGGGAAAGGCAAATATGTTGAAGACAGGTAGAGAGGATAAAATACTTTGAACTACCAGGAATCCACAAGATAGTGGCTAGATAAAGCTTCTGGTATTTATTTGCTAGTTGTTAATTTCTTAGGAATCGTCTAGAGTCATAAACTCAGATGACTAAGTGGTAATGAAAAGAAGAAAAGGTGAGTGGCTAGTTTGTATGAACTTCCTTGGAGGTTATTCCTGGACACAGTATACCTCATTAGAGCCTACTCCCTCTGATAGATTGTGCCACCACAAGTCGTTGGTCTCTGATTTCAGCCAACTCTCAATATTCTCCTATAGGTTTTATTCTTGTCTTTGTCAGCTAGTTTTCTATTCCTTCAAAATTCTCTTCCCGCTCCTTTTATGTCCCTCACTGCCTTCCCCCTTAGTTCTATCAGAAGACCCAGTCTCCTACCTTCTTAATCTTCCTGCCTGGTCCTGCCACATATATCTGGAAACTGCACTCTCTCTCTTCTCTAGGTTTAATGGAAAATATATTCTTTCTGTCAATGGTTAATCTCTCCAGCTGTGCTTTGAATTTTTCTTTTTTTAAAAAAAAATTTGCCTTTTTATATTTTCTCAAACGTCCATTACCCCCCCACATTTGTATCTTTAACCTTTCACTATCTAGTTACATCAGAGGTCATTGACGCATTCTACTACCTGGGTCCTCTATTGCTTTTCTCCAGACCATAAGACCTCTAGAACAAATCTGGCTACTTCCTTGCTTGAACTCCCAATTGCTTCTCATTATGTTTAAAAAAAAGTTCAAACTCCCCACTTTAACATTCATGATGTAGGATAATCTGTCCATTATAGCATTCATTCATTTTAACTCCTGCCCATGACTCCCAACAGGTTATCTCTTATCCCCAAACATCTCATCTGCAAATGGCTTCTCATACCTTCCTGCCTTGGCAATCGCTACTACTTCATGGAATGATCTTATGAACTTTCCCTTCACTCAACTATGTGCTGCTCATTGTTCAATGCCTCAATGATGCTATAGTGCCTTGTGTTCACTTCTATAACACTTGATCCGTAGCCCTAGCATATAAAAGAGGTTCACTAATTGTCTGTAAAAAAAATGATGATGCCAGTGCTGGTGACTGCCCTGTCCATCTGGGACCCAGTGGGAAGCCCTGCACTGCTCACTATGTTGGTCACCCCAAGCTGCATTCTCCTTCCATGGCAGGCTCGCCAGATCCTGGAACAGACCCCAGTGAAGCAGCTGGTGAGCTTCAAGTGGAAGAAATATGGGAGGCCCTACTTCTGCATTCTGGGTGCCTTGTATGTGCTCTACATGAGCTGCTTCACCATGTGCTGTGTCAACCGCCCCCTCAAGAATTGTAGCAGCAATCACACAGGTTCCCGAGATATCACCCTTATGGAACAGAAGCTGCTACAGGTGACTCTTCACAGAAGGAAATGAAAGCGAATGTTAAAATGGGGCGATGGTGCTGGAGACCAAAATGATACTACCCAGGGAAGATAACCTTCACTGGGCTCTAATAGCTGCAGGCTCTTAAGCAACTGACAGCAGTTGGACATGAGATAGGGGCACCAGAAAGGAGGCTTACTGAGTAAAAATACACTTGTCCAGGGAGTTGTGGCTTCTCTCACTGACTTTGAAAGGATTCTTGGTGTTAGGAATACTGTGCATTGGTAAAAGTCCTTTCAGTGTAGGGAGAGGACCAGTCTTTTGTAATGTGAACTTGAAGGGAAACCCTGTTGTTCTAACAGGAGGGAAATCATGCTCCATGTCCATGTCTGGGTCCGTTTCATCTCGGTGAGGGCATCATAGCCCTCTGGCTTCCATTCTCTTCTGTGTTCTGTCAATACGAAGCATATTGGCAAGGATGTGTCAGCTGTCTGATCACCTGTCAGATACACTAAAGAAGGATGCCTGGATAGTGTACCAGGCCAAAGCCAATAATCTCGGAAGCAAATTTACTCTGGTGGGCTTGCATCCCATGGTGTCCTTCAGAGACCTGGGTGGTGAGGACACTGAGTAGAGGTGTGGAAGAAATGTAAGAGTCTGCTGTTAGAGGAAGCAAATCCTCCTTTGAGTATAGCAGAATGAGTAGACTCTAATGAGTATTTTTGAAGATAGGCATTCAACAAGCATAGCTACATTGGGCTGGTTAATTTTTTGTAGGACAACTTTTTTGTCCTGGTGGTCTGAAAAGAGCTGAAAGGGGCTGCAGGCATGTGGGCAGAAAGTGAGACAGAGGAGGAAGAATTTAGCCAGGCAAATAGAAGGTAGGTGACTGGAGATGTATGCTCTATGCAGGATGGACTAGCCATGGGTGTAACTCAGCCTGGACTAGTGTCAGAATGAGAGCATAAACTACGTAGGCCAAGGAGCAAAGTTAGACCAAAGACAGTGGTATGTTCAGAGAAGGAACAGGGCCAAATGCCTCACTAAACCCTAAAGTAGATCAAGACACTCTATCTCTTTTGCTTCTATAACCACCTCTAAATATATAGACAGATGCTTATGTATCCAGAGCCCTGTCTCTCATAAAAAAGGATTTGCTGACTTGTTAGAGGAGGGCATGAGTGCTTAGGGGAATTTGTGTCCCATGCATCTCAAAATGGGCATGAGGCTTGCCCCTAGTATGGAGACCAAACTGGGGAACTAAGGACATTTAGAAGATGGCCAAGTGAATGGATGAGTGGCTAGAAGTGGAAAAAGATATAAACATGAAGGAGTTGGGGTAGCTGAGCTTTTCCAACATCTCCAGCCCTATTTCTGCAGATGCACTAATTCCCAGCCTTCCTTTGTCTCAAGCTTATTTAGGGGTTTTCTGGATCTGGAATGTAGAAAGTGTTCTGGCCCAAGAGTTGGTGATGCCAAGTGATTAATTAGCACCAAATCTCCTCCCTGTGTGACTTTCTCTTTGGGGCAGGACTAATTGTGTACAAACATGTTCCTTTGACCCAGATAGTCTAAATTATATTATAAAACCCCTCCCCTTGCCTCAGGACTAGGTGAAGCATAATTTTAGCTGACTGTGCCTACTCATCTTCTTTTCTCTCTCTCTCTCTCTCTCTCTCTCTCTAAAAAAAAGACCATAGTGATGGTTTGGAATTTTTGCTTATCCATTTTAATAGAAAATCATTGACTTTTCAGTAGAGTATGTGAGAAAAGCCTGGGGAGTCACATACAGAAGTGCCTCTCACCTCCTGCTATTTAAGTAATTATTGGTCCAAACAGCAGACTCTTGACTTTCAAATATCTTTACCTTCATGGGGAAGGGGGACTAAGAAGGTTAAGAATGCTATTGTAAGGGGTTTGTATAGCAAAGCTCACGAATGAGAGGTTCCTATTCTTTGGCATTGCCCCTTGAGACGTGGTCCTGAGTTTATGAATTTTTTGTGTTCCTTGCATTCAATAGTAAGTCAATTTGGATCAGGTCAGAGGCTTTTACACCTATCACCGTGATCTGAAAGATTCTGCTTTCATGATGCACCAGATTAGTTAGCTAATAGAAATTTTTTCCTGCTTTTTTGTTACTTGAAAGTCTTGAAAAAATGAAAATGTATCAATACATGTGTTGATTTGATTAATGCAATTGTTGACAGGTTCCTTAGCCCATGGAGCTTTTTGTTAGACAAATGAATACTTTAACATCCAATTAAATTAATCAATCTGAACACACAGGATTTCAGTCTTAGTCACTGTAGGATTTCCTCTGTGGATCTCGTGGGTTCTGGAGCAGTCACTGGGCTCCATGAGGATAGCCTAGAGCCGTGGTAGGCAACCCGCGGCTCGCGAGCCTCATGTGGCTCTTTGGCCCCTTGAGTGTGGCTCTTCCATGAAATACCACGAGTGGGTGCACTCGTACAGTGTGATTGAAACTTCGTGGCCTATGCGCAGAAGTCGGTATTTTGTGGAAGAGCCACACTCAAGGGGCCAAAGAGCCGCATGTGGCTCATGAGCCGTGGTTTGCCGAGTCGCAGTTTGCCGATCACTGGCCTAGAGCACCGTCTCAAGACAGCTGAAGTGAAACAAAAATACTGCACACTACACAAAAGCAGATGTATATGAGGATGGAGTTCATCTCAATCTAGTCTTAAAGATATCTTAATGGGTGTCTTAAGCCTAAGATGCCTCCTTGTTCATCCATAAAAGTTATGCTCTTCCAGAGTTTCCCAAGAACTCTGTTAATTAAGTGGAGTTAATTTCCTATCTCCATTCAATGTCTATTTGGTTTGGGCAGTACAACAGTCACTATAGCATTGGTTCTCTTAGGTTTGCAGGTGGGTAGACAGTTCAAAGTCTGGGAGTCAGGCAGCTTGGTTGTTAGTTTTAACAGATCTGTCTAGGTCAGGGGTGGGCAAACTTTTTGACTCGAGGGCCACAATGGGTTCTTAAACTGGACCGGAGGGCTGGAACAAAAGCATGGATGGAGTGTTTGTGTGAACTAATATAAATTCAAAGTAAACATCATTACATAAAAGGGTACGGTCTTTTTTTTTTTTAAGTTTTATTCATTTCAGACGGGCCGGATCCGGCCCGTGGGCCATAGTTTGCCCATGGCGGTCTAGATGAATAGTTTTTAACCAAGATTGCGCATTACAAACATGGGAAGCTAGTAAAGATACCAGTTTTAAGTAAGCTACATCACACCTAATAAGTCAGAATGTCTGAGAGAGGCCCTCCATTGGTATTTATAAGAAACTCTTTTAGTGATCCTGATATTTAGCCAAGGCTGAAAACTACCAATTTCCATCTTTGATATTGATTCAGCTCCAGCTGTCCAGTCTGAAGTCAATCACTCCAATCATTAGAGGGCATTAGTCACTCACCATCAGATCTCTTTGTCTCTTGAAGATTTTCCATCATCAAATTTCCATTTGTTCCTTGAAAATGTTTTCAATATCTCCTCTGTCCCTTCCCCCACCAAAAAATTTCACTAATTCATTCATTAAACAAATAATCATTGAGAGCTTCATAGAGCCTAGATATTATTCTAGGTGTTAGAAATTCAACATGGTCTGAAAAACTCTGGCCTTTTATTACTGAGCTAGGACTTGGGTAAGAGAGAAAGGTACAAAGTGAGTTTAAGCAGAAAAGAGGCCTATGCAAAGGCAGAAAGAGCCTTGCCAACGTCTAGGCACTGAGTGAAGACTGGGAGCGCAGGAGCTGGGCAGGAGCCTCCAGAGGAAGCTGTCCAGGCAAATCTTTTGCTGATCATCAGGGCCTTGCAGGCCATACTGATAGAGAAGCCACACTCTTTATCCAGAAGTAATGGAGAGCTCTGAAGGATTTTAAAGAAGGGAGAGCCTGACTAGACTTTATTTTAGAAAAATGTCTCTGTAGGGTGGAGAACTGATTGGAGAAGGCCAGGGATGATGTAGGGAGATCAGTTAAGAGGTAACTATAGGTTAGCAAGAAAGAGACAATGGTTAATTGTTCTTGGGTTGTGATGGGGAAACTGAGAGAAAGGTTTAGCACTAGGAGACTTATTGAAGGTAAAATCAATGCTACAGTGCAAAGGATTGGATACAGAGAGTAAGGGAGAAGACGGTGGCAGGAGTGACATGGCAGGCAGGTTTCCATTCATTTAAAATCATCCTCTGCTTGTCATGGTCAGTGGATTGATCTGTCTACACATCATTGTTTCTCAAAGCTCTCAATGACACAGCTCTCATCCCAGCTATTTGGAAGCCCCACTGATCTCCAACTCTACACTGTTTTGTTCAGGGATCCTAACCACTTCCTGTGGAACAATCACAGCAAATTAAAGACAGGGAAATAGATGAAGAGAAGCAGGGAGCCAGCTAGGTAAAAACAGCATCTACTGAGTGCTTGCTTGGTGCACTTTACATGTGTTCTGGGGATTCTGTGAAATTGAATATTCTGGAAGCAAGTCTGGAGTGGGATCTGAGATTCTGCACTTCTGACTCACTGCTGGGTGATGCTTTAATTTTGTATACCCTATTTTGGATGATAAAACACTTTCATACCATTCGATCTTCATACATATCCTAATAAATAAATAATATTATTATCACCATTTTTAAGACAGTGAATCTGAAGTCAATCAAGAAAGGTTAAATACATTGGCAAAGACACTCATCTAGTGAGGGCAGCGCTGGGTCTTGGGTTCTGGTCTGCTTCACTCCGAACCTTCCCCTTTAATATGAAGCCAGGCCATTTCTCCCTCCAGACCAAGGTGCTGAATTCCAGTTTTCCTTCTTAGGGGATCCATTGCATGAGAAATGTATGTCTCCAGGCTTTGCCCTGAACCTGGGCCTGCACACTCATCTGGCCACATCTAATCTTTCCCTGGAAAGATGAGGGACACTGGAGTGCCAGGGCAGGGAGTCACATACAGAAGTGTCTCCCACACCCAGCTACCAAAGCTACTGTCTATTTTCTAGATTTGACCATAGGAACCGTTTTTGATAGGATATAGGGTAGGTCTTCCTTCTTTGGTAAGGACTCCTCTGAGAAAATGCAGAGACCAAGACATAAAATAAAATGCTTGGAAAGCAGTCTTAGATTGTTGGGGTCAAGCCCCAGCAGGTCCAGGGGTTCCCAAAGGTGTGGACAGAGTTGGCGAAGAAGGAATGACACAGGCAGAGGTTCAGTTGATCAGCATAGTGAGGTTCTCATTCCAGGTTCTCCAGCCAGGTTCTGTCTTTATTGTCCTGTTACATCTGTATTTATACTAGTTGATTTTAATCCTATCCATTCTATTCCAAAGGTTAGGGCGTTTTTTATCTCCATTCCAAGGTTACTCTATTGTTCTATTAAGCTACAAGAAAGTAACCTTTTAATCTTGTCTAGGTTAATCTCAGTGTTCCATTATAAGGGCTATTCCAAGGTCACTGCTCTACTGATAGGCTACAAGGAAGTGACTGAAGGAGATTATCCTACCCAGTAAAGGTTATGTCCTCCCAGCCTCACTGCTTGCCTTCCCTGGGACTGCCCTGTGTCCGTGGATCTCCAGGGGTATAAGTTTTATTTCTTTCCCTGGTGGGCAGACCCCTGGGGATGTGGGCCCAACAAGTCCCAGATTTATTGCCAACAGTCTTAGTCCAAGTTCTTCATAAGTAGTACATGGTATTTCTGTAACACTAGGGGGTTTCACTGATTTATTCTCTTCCTTAGTCCTGTTAATCCCTAACTCCAGGGAAAAATCCTCACCTGGGGAAACAACCTTTCTCGGGGAGGTGGTCCTGTTTAAAACACGTAGTGCTAAGAGGGGGAGCAAACATATGCCATGTACGCCAGGTCCCTTGAAACATAAGCTGTGCAGATGTTTCTTCCCTGCAGCGACTGTGTCAAGCAGCAAGGGTGGACCAGCTTCCGGCATTAGATGAGAACCGGGAGATTTTCCTCTTTTTTGGTCTAGTGGTTCTCAACTTGAAGTATAGAAGGCACGCCTACATTTAAAAAAAATGCTAGGTCTCTGATCCAAACTAATTGAGTGAGAATCCCCAGTGTTTGCCTGGGTATGGATGTCGTGACAAAAACTTCCCAGTTGTTTCTGATGGGCACCTAGTAAGAAACCCCTGTGCATTTGAGAGGATCAGAGTAACTCTTCTTTATGAGCCAGTTAAGACTCTTTCTGGGAGCTTCATTCCTTTGTAAGACTGGAATCTTGGGGAGGAAAAGTGGGTCTAGGACTGAGGTTTGATAACTTTTTCTGGTGTCCTCCCAGCTTCCTCCCAGGTCATCCATGCTTGCTCCCCACCCTTCCCCCTGGTGGTACATGCTTGTGCTATGCACATCCCTTCTGGGCATTTCCTTCAAGGCAATGAGCTCAGCCAGCTGGCAAGTGAAGCAATCTCACTGGGCCAATTCTCACTGAAGTCAGCCTTTGCCGAGGAGTTAGCTGCTGACAACACCTGAAATTTCAAGCCATGTGATGATGTAAAGACTTCTGGTCATTGCTGGAAGACATTTGTTTTTAAAGCGTGGGGTGGAATATTTTCTGTGTAATATTAGTCACGCCTGCTTAAGTGACCTTGAGCTAGGAACCTGAAAATCCAAGAAAAGCCCAATTAATTATCACCCTTTCCCCCATCCCCACATCCTGAGTCCCCTTGACCATTCTCCTGCAACTGTCAGATCATGCTCGGCTGCTACCTACCTGTTCACCCTCTCCTTTCCCTCTTTCCTTCTTTTCTTTCTTATTATGGGAACACCTACTATGTTGTGTGTTGTGGATGAAAAGTCAGAGTTAGATGTCCCTGCTCTCAGGGAACTCTAAGATTACTGGTGAGACCTGGAGTGCTCCAATGATTTCAGTGTGAGGGCTGTGAACAGAGTGGCACCGTGGACCTACAGAAGAGTCACCTGACCCAGGAGGAAAGCTGTGACTTAAATCTCGAGGATTAAGTAAGGGTGAGCCAGGGAAACATGATGGAGGAAGGAGACTGTAGCGCCCTACTGCCTGGTTTAAGGGAAAGGACCTTTGGCAACAAAGTGGTGAAGGAAACTACTTTTTAGGGTAATCAGATCCCAGGTGGAGCAGATACAAACACTTGGGGTCTCTGGACACCTCTGTTACTCACCAGTGAACTTGTGCAGGGATCATGTGCCTGTAAAGGAATCTGCTGAACAAACTAACAGTACTGGTGAGGGGAAATCCCAGAAGGTGGTGGTGGTGATAGAAATTGTCCCTAACATTTCTCATTAGTTGGGGTTTCACCTTTTCATCCCTGGGGAAGAGCTGGTGCCACTCTCCCACTGTCCTCTAGGGGCGTACTCATCCCTATAACTCACCTGACCAATTTGTGCACAGTACTTCCTTTTCTTCTTAATTGAGGCAAGGGAAGGTTGGTGGCAGTTTTGTAGACATACTCAACCAAGATACAAAGTTTTAAAAAGAATTTTTAAAAATATGTTTTTAATTGATTTTTAGAGAAAGAGAGGAAGGGAGAGGGACAGAGAGAAACATCAACTGGCTGCCTCCTGCATGCCTCCTACTGAGGATTGAGCCTGCAACCCTGGCATGTGCCCTGACTGGGAATTGAATGGTGACTTTTGAGTGCATGAGACCACACTCAACTAACTCAGCCACACCAGCAAGGGTCAAGATACAAAGTTTTAAACTGAATTCAAAAATTTTGTATGGACATGTATATGACATCGATGCAGTTATTTTTATATTTAGTGCTATTTTGTTTCTATAGTTAACATACTTATTTATCCTATTACTTACTACCTGATCTCAAAAGGAGTTGGCATGTTTTACAAGATGTCATGGGAACATTAAGATAAAGAACAAAGCCCATTAACTGAATTTCAAGATGGAGAAGAGGGTATTCAAAGTAGTTTCTAGAGCTGAGGATGAAGAGAGAACTCTGGGCTTCCTTGAAAACAAAGGAAAAGGAAATTTCCCATTATATGATATAATACAATTAACTAGTTTCCCAAGACAGATAAATGTCAGAGAAGTTTACAGATCATCAATTCTTTAAACAACAAAAATGTAACTAAAATCTAGTCACGGGTTGTTAGATCACAATGTTCGGCAGGCACAGATACCAACTCTTTTCCCGGTCTTTCTTGGCCCCATATGATATAGTTTCAACATTTCAACCATCTGCTGGTCAGTCTGGCCCTATGCTTAAAGGCTATCTCCTTGGCTTCTTTTGAGCTGTTTTACACATTCTGAGCCATAAGGCACTTGGTGGGTACTTTTTTTATACCATAGATCACCTCCTACCATATGACATCTCTTCCTGTTTCAAAAGCTATGCCTCTTATTGTACCAGTGAGTGCACCACCAAAGTAGCCTACAGAGAGATGCTAAGAGGTTCCAGTTTATTAGCAGAGTAAAGTTACTTAGCTTTCCTTATGTGTCATGAGCAATCATATCCTCTCCAGTTGAAATCATCAACTTTCGCACTGACTCCAGGGTCACTCAACTCCTAACTTGGTTACACTATTCAGAGATGTGAGTATGGAGAACAGAGTTCTCAAAAGTGTAAAGGGTACTGAATGTGTTAAAATTATTTGTCTAAATTTATGTGGGGACTGCATATGTATGAACTGTTTTCTGGAAGGAGGGTCTGTAGTCTTTATGATAGTCTCAGATGTGCTCAGAACTTCAAAAAAGTTAAAGATCATTATGGTAGAACTCCATCACTATCTCTGTATAATGTTGCAAAGACTCACTATGATGTAATATGCATCCCAAAAGGATGGTCTTATTTTTATCTTGAACATAGGACTATAGCTTCTACACCTACTGCTCAGGACAAGACAGGGGCCCTTCCTCAGAACTAAAATCCGCATAGTGTCTCTAGCACCTTGCCTGCTCTTTTCTCTATTGCCAAGTCCTAATAAAACCATGATAAATATATCTATACTATTTTATAGATTATGAAGTACAACCAAATACATCATCTAATTCCAACTTCACAGTAACCCTGGGGAGGTAAGCATCAGAGTTTCCATTTTTCAGATGAGAAACCTCAAGATCAGGAAAGTCTAGTGACTGAGTCGAGGTTGTGCTAGAGTTAGTGGGTTCTGGCTCCACACGGGAAACTGAATTCTGTGATATGTTTATAGTCTCTTCTACCTGCCAGGAACCACAATGGGATTGGAAAAGCTGGAATTTCCGCATAGCTGAAACCATTCCAAGCCACTAATACCTCTTCCTATTACAATAACTTTCTAAACTTGATGCTCTGAAAGGTGATCACAGCCCTTCGGTACATATATCATAAATTACCACTCATAACATATGTATAAAAGATGACTTGCTAGGGAATTACTCAAGTTATCAGCATAAGCAACATATGGATACACAGACGAATGTCCTGGTCACAGAGTTAGCCACAATGACAAAACCATCCTGTGTGTGGTGGTGTAGAAAGGTGATCTTTTCTTCATTTTGGATAGACCTTAGTTACTTTAGATCAGGGGTGTGGAACCTTTTTTCTGCCAAGGACCATTTGGATATTTATAGCATCATTTGTGGGCCATACAAAATTATCAACTTAAAAATTAGCCTGGTATAAAAAAATTAGCCTGCTATATTTGGTCAAACATTTAATTCATTCACCCTTAATGCCTTGGCAGGGTCAGACCAAATGATTTCATGGACTTTATGCAACCCGTGGGCCTAAAGTTCTCCACCCTTGCATTAGACCACTTGCCCAAAAGGATTTGAGTTTCAATCCATCAGAAAGCATTTCTCATCCTGAATTTTCCCTCATAGGAGGCCTATGTAACTGAACAGGATAAAATCCGACTGGTGGGGGAGCTGGTGACCGTCGTCGGGGCTCTAATCATGCTGATCCTAGAGGTGAGGTACACATGGGGTCCAGGCCAAGGCCATCTACCTGAGACCCCAGACTGAACTGCAGTCCTCATGCTCTTTTTGTTTTACTGGCCTCTTCCCAGATCCCAGACATCTTCAGGGTTGGCGTCTCTCGCTATTTTGGACAGACTGTCCTTGGTGGGCCATTCCATGTCATCATGTGAGTGTCCCTTCCTTCCAGCCCCATGTCTTCCCTCACCAGAATTGCTCCAGGTCTCTCTGGGACCTAGACCTCAGCTTACTTTTCCTATATGTGTGTTTCAGATATAAAGATTAAGTCTAAGTGTATAGGTACCACCCAAGTCATGACTGTGTTGGAGAGGACCTAGAATATCCAGCCTTCCTCTCACTTCCTGATCTCTTCTCTCCCCCCCAGCATCACCTCTGCCTCCCTAGTGCTGGTGACCATGGTGATGAGGCTCTCCAACACCAGAGGGGAGGTGGTGCCCATGTCCCTCGGTCTGGTACTGGGCTGGTGCAGCGTTATATACTTTGCCCGAGGATTCCAGATGTTGGGTCCCTTCAGTATCATGATTCAGAAGGTCAGTGCTTTCCCCAAAGTTTCCTCTGGCTTCATCCATGGGATCTTCCCAGACAGAGGGAGAGGGTGGGAGCCAAAAGAAAAATGCTGCTCAGAGTGGATATGGTGGAACTCCAGAGACCTCCTGATCAATTAGCGATAACTGCTGAGAGGCAAATGGGAAAAGGATCACTCCACCCTCTCTCCCCTTCTGTTTTCTGTAGATGATTTTTGGAGACTTACTGCGTTTCTGCTGGCTGATGGTTGTGGTTATTCTGGGATTTGCCTCAGGTAAGAGCACTACTCCTTCCCCCACCAGATAATTGGATCCAATTCTTCAGAATATTCTCTCTCACTCTTGCTCTCAGTTCTTGTTTGCACTCCCATTTACTCCCCCTCCCAAGTGGAAAGTGAGTCAAAATACACACTGACACCCATAGAACCAAGGTCACTCAGGTTGGCCTAGAAGGTAAACCCATGTGCTCTGACTTTCTGAGCCAATAACATTCATGTTGACTACCCACCCTGCAAGATCCTTAAAGGACATGTAGAAAAGGGCTTTGTAGTGAGAGGGACATTAAACAGGAAAGACTGGCCACATGTGGATTTCAGAAAATGATGTAGGCAGAGACAGTGCAGTAGGTAAGCCGTCTAGTACCCTATAGAAGAAACATAAAGCATTCAATAACACATAATGTGCTTTTTTTCTATGTGTGGTCAAAGTTGAAAAAAAGAGAAAGAATTCTCAAAAGGAGGTACAAAAAATGTTTGGAGAGTTTGAAGAATGAGAGAGGAAAACAGACAGAGAGTTGTGAAGAAAGACTGGGCAGAGAGAGGCAAGCAGGTGCTTACCGAAGGCCCTGGGTGCAGTGGGAGAATGGCAGGAAGGAGAGAAAGGATCACAGCATGAAACTGGCAGACAGGGGGAGGGACAGGGAAAGCAAATGAGTAGAAGAAAGTTTTTAGGCAGAAAGAGAAAGTAAGAGCCAAAGGCAACAACTCTAATCCAGTCTTCAATGTCCTCAACTGAATATCCATAAGACAATGGGATGTACTAGATGATATTTGAGGAACCCTCCAACTCTCAAAGACCAGGGCTCAGTACAAAGGGCACTATTCCTGTCTTAGGAATTCCCTATTAAATGGGGATCCCATAAACCAGTAGACCAAAAAACTGCACCAGCAGCTGAACTATAAAAGGTTAAAACTAAAATATATGTATATATCCTATCTAATAAAATGATAATATGCTAATTAACCACTACTCTGTCATAAAGATGGCGACATCCATAGCAACAAGATGGCGGCGCCCAGTCCTCTCAGCCCCGCCGGAGTCCCCCAGTCTTGGGGGGGCAGCCGCTGAGAGTGGGCAGTGTGAGTGGCCTGGCAAAATGCTTGCTTTGTTGCCACGGTGACGAGGCAAGCGTTCTGTGCCTGGCCACAGAAGGGCCTCTGGCCTGGCCAGGGCACAGAATGCTTGCATAAGAAGAGAAGAAACTGGTGAGCTGAGCAGAGTCAAGTGGCCCCTGACTCCCAGGCAAGGTCAAGTCTGGGAGGCCAGAGGGTGGAGGGGGTGAAGGATAGTGTGACAGGAGGGCCTGGTGGCCGAGGCACAGGGGTGAAAGCTGGCTGAGAAAGAAGAAGGAAGCCCTTTATCAGAGTTCCTGATAACAGGGAGGGAAGTCTTTGCATTTTCCAGCGGCAGGTGGGCCTCTGGCCAGGTCAGGGCGCAGAATGCTTGCGTCGTTGCCCCGGCGATGAGGCAAGCGTTCCGTGCCCGGCCATGGATGGGCCTCTGGGCAACAGAGAATCTCTGGGCAGCAGGCACAGAGTGGCCAGGCACACGGATTCGTGTGCAGGGCTATTAGTGTGTGTGTGTGTGTGTGTGTGTGTGTGTGTGTGTGTGTCTGAATATTAACATTATCCAGAGTGATGAACTTGGCATAGGATGTCTCAGGATTAGCCAGGTCCACAGGTAAAATGTAACTTACATGCATACATTCACACATCTATATTTATAGATGTGTAAGTTGGTATAGGTGCATGTAAGTGTTCAGAGATATATGTTGGAAATAGAATGAATGCTTATTGTGATTATTCTCTTTTCTTCCATCTCCATGCCTTTTTCTTGGGTGGAGCAGCGTTCTTTATCATTTTCCAGACAGAGGACCCAAAAAAGCTAGGGGAATTCTATAACTACCCCACATCACTGTTCACGACCTTTGAGCTTTTCCTCACCCTCATCGATGGCCCTGCCAACTATGACGTGGATTTGCCTTTCATATACCACATCACCTATGCGGCCTTTGCCATCATCGCCACACTACTTATGCTCAACCTGTTCATAGCCATGATGGGTGACACTCACTGGCGAGTGGCTCAAGAGCGGGATGAGCTCTGGAGGGCTCAGGTAAGTTTACTAGTGTTAGTCTTACTAAGGAGCAGGGGGTAGGGGGGAAAATCAGAGTGTTATGTTATGGTGGATGACTTAGGAGAGTCATAAAAACCCAGTGGGGCTGTCATCTCAACAGAGATACATTTGGATAGATCTAGGAGACAAAGGAGGGTAAAATGGTAGCAATGGGTAGGATCAACATCCAAGATCTGAGGATATTGATCACAAGGGAAAAATAGATTCAGCCATCATCTTTGAGTCCAGGGAGGACTAGAAACAGTCTTGTTCTTATATATCCTAGTTTTTATTTATTTTTTTCTGATAATTTTAGAATTTTTTATTGTCTAAAGTTTTACATATGTCTCCTTTATCCCAAATTGACACCCTTCCCCTCCCCCCCAGCCATTCTCACCCTGGGCAAGCCCCTACTGCCCCAGTGTCTGTGTCCATTGGTTATGTTAATATGCATGCATACAAGTCCTTTGGTTGCTCTCTAACACCCCCTCCCCCACCATTTGTCTATAGATCGATCTGTTCTTGTTCATCAAATTATTTTGATCATTATATCCCACATTGGAGTGAGATCATGTGATATTTATCTTACTCCAACTGGCTTATTTCTCTTAGCATAATGCTCTCTATTTCCATCCATGTTGTTACAAATGGTAAAAGTTCCTTCTTTTTTACAGCAGCATAGTATTCCATTGTATAGATGTACCACAGTTTTTTAATCCACTCATCTGCTGATGGGCACTTAGGCTGTTTCCAAATCTTA